CCTGGTGACTCTAAGGCACCAGGCGAGACAATCCAAATGCACATGCCTAACAGGCCTGGAGGGTGTCATTAGACTGCTCTCACTACTCTGGGGTATGTTTGAAAATATTCATAAAAAATTTTAAAACCCCTTAACAAAACAAACAAAGGCATAAACTTTGATCACTGCCCTCCACCTAGAAGGAATATTCTGTAAAATCAGAAGTGAAAGCGGAGCAACAGAACAGGCAGGGAGTCCCACACTCCCTGAATTTCCTCATTGTTAACATCAGGACGACTCCCAGCCCCAGGCCATGTGGGTCTGCAGGGTCCGGCCCACGGCAGAGAAGCCAGAGGAGCGTCAGCTGGAAGGAAGCCAGCCCTCCGGGCCGCCCGGAAGGCAGTGCCGCCCAGCCAGCCAGCCTGTGGGAGAAGGTTCAGCAGCACCTTCCGAACACAACAGTGAGTCTGAATGCATCTCCCACACTCTGCCTTCTTTTTTGTTATTAAGAAATCATTTAATAAAAAATCATTTTAGAAAGTCATGTTATTTTGAAACCCAAAGGCCTCAGTCCGTCTCTCCTCATCTATGGAAACGGAAGGGATCAGCCAGACATCTGTGCAGACCCTCCAGCCGCGGTCACACGGGCCGTGCTCCCGGCTGAAGCTCGGCGACCTGAGAGGCGTACTAGAGGAAAGTTTGATCCCAGTTTAGAAACTTCTCAAATATTTTGCATATTTATTCCGAAGTATGTCAAATAAAAGAAAAAAATCAGGAACTAGGTAAGAAGAGACTTTATACAAAAGAATTATTGCAAGAGGCAGAAAAGGGGCTATTCCAATAGAGTGAGGAGACTCTTGTAACAGGAAAAACTCACACAGACTGCGAGGTCTGCAAGTATCTCCCCGGTTTAAAAGCAGTTTTTAAATACATTTTTTCAGCCCTGGCTGGGTAGTCCAGTTGGTCAGAGCGTCATCCTGGGATGACAAGGTTGCAGGTTCAATTCTGGGTCAGGGCACATACAAGGGTTAACGAACGAATGCATAAATAAGTGGAACAGCAAATCAAGGGTTCTCTCGCTCCCCCTTCCTCTCTCTCTCAAATCAATCAATCAATAAAAAATACTATTAAAATATTTTTGACCTCCAAATGTACTAAAAGTTAAACTCAGAATTCACCTGCTTTTTATTTAATCCTCACCCGAGGACATTTTTCGATATTTTGTTCAGATAGAGTGAGAGGGAGAGAGAGAGAGAGAAACATCGACGTGAAAGCGACACATCGAGTGGTTGCCACCCACACGACCCAACCAGGGCCGGGGACAAACTGCAACCAAGGTACGTGCCCTTAGCGGGAACCGAACCCGGGTCTCTCCGGACCGCAGGCCGACGCTCTAACCGCTGAGCCAAACCGGCCATTCACCTGCTTTTTAAATAAGTAAGCAATATCCCTAGTGGAAGATCATCTTCAGTTAAGTTTAATTATTTGAGCATAAACAAAATTATTTAAAACAGTAAGAGCCTGGTAACAGAACTGCCTAGTAGAAAAGAAACATTAACCTTGGCACCCCTCAGCCATCCCCAAGTGCAAATCCCTGGGAGAAGATATCAGCCAGTGTTGTTCTAATAAACCCCAAGTAACCCAGCACAAGTATGGCGCCTCGCAGTGCGTGACCTCAGTGTGCGCTCCCAGAAAAGGCTGTAACTTCCCTCCTGCCTCACACACTTCCCTTGAAGCGCACAGTGAGTTCTGTTCTTGAAAAAGATTTCAGGGCACTTCCTTTGTTGCCGTGGCACGAAGTTCACCGAGACGTTCATCTGATCCACGCTGGAACATTTCCTCTCGTAACAAAGTTCCCTCTCCAAAGACAAAGCAAACGTGATACGAAATACAAGAAAAGAAACTCCAGCCACGGTCAAGGGCAGAGATGAGAGAGGCCGGCACGTCAGAAGGAACACTGTGAGAGAACAGTCTGTAAGAACGAGCACTGGCACCAGGGGAGTGCCCCCGACACAGCCGTGACCTGGAAAGCCACTCGCTGCCTGTGCCTCGCTCCCGCCCTCTCCAGTCACTGATGCCGCCCACTGACCCACTGAGAGGACCAGTGAGGAGCGCACATGAAAGTTCTGTTGAAGAGGGAATGCATAACTCTTGCGATTCTCGGTGTCTTAAACCATATGCTACATTTTGATTAGCAAAAATATCAGAGCTTCCTTTAATGATCCTTGAAATTTCAAAATCCTGTTTTTCCATTTTCTAAATCTAAATATTAATTAAGCTTTATCAAACTACATGCATACCCTTCCCGAGACAGTGATGCTGTGCCTGCTCGGGGTCTCTCTCCCTAGTCTGACACTTTCTTCCCTCTACTGACTCGTCTTCATCCTTCTTCTGTTTTCCTTCTCCCCTCACTTCTCACAAGACCAGGGACAACCTGCGAGGACAGTGAGCACTCTGGCCCTGCTGTGGACAACAGAGCCCCGCAGTGCACACTCACATCTGCTCAGATGGGGGCTATTCAAAGGCAATCCACACAAAGGTTTGATGAGTTTTTCATAAAGTTTCTGGAGTCTTGGCCCTGTTCTTGGTAGGACACCACTGTGGCTGCCTCTAAGCCTGGCACCAAGTTCTCTTTCAGTAACCAGAAGAGACAATTCACCTCATGTATCAGTTAATCAACATGAAAAGGTCAAATTATTACATAACCAATTCAATTTCTGGAATGATCTAGACAGATAATGCAGAGTCTTGCCTGGGTGCTTCTCCTTCCCAAAAACCATGCAGAGACAACAACTAACTCATGTTCACGGCCATGGTAAAGAATGAAATGTGTGTGTCAGTAATGTAGCAGCACTGAGAATCATCTACCAATAGAAACAAGACATAATAAATAACTCAGCCTGGTGTGGCCTGAACTTCTCAACCACAGGACAAAGCACAGGCTGAACCCATCTGACAGAGACACAGCAACAAATTCTCCTTATTCCTCCAGGGCCCCCAAGAGCTCTTCACAGCCTAGGTATCCAACCCTAGCACACTGCTGGTGGGAATGCAGACTGTTGCAGCCTGATGAAAAACAGTATGGAGGTTCCTCAAAAAACTAAAAATGGAACTGCCTTTTGACTCAACAATCCCACTTCTGGGCATATATCCTAAGAATCCCAAAACACTAATCAGAAAGAATATATGTACCCCTATGTTCATAGCAGTGTTATTTACAATCGCTAAGATCTGGAAACAGCCCAAGTGCCCATGGGTAGAAGAGTAGGTAAAATAGCTGTGGTACATTTACACAATGGAATATTTTGCAGCTGTAAAAAATAAGGAGCTCTTACCCTTTGCTACAGCATGGATGGACCTGGAGAGTATTATGCTAAGTGAAATAAGCCAGTCAGAGAAAGACAAATACTACATGATCTCACTTATATGTGGAATATAAGGAATAAAAGAAACTGATGAACAAAATAGGACCAGAGGCATGGATACAATGAACAGACTGACAGATCTCAGAGGGGAGGAGTGTGGGGAGGACGAAAAGAAATGAATCAGCCCTTTACGGAAGCCAACCTGCTCGGAGTCATCATCACACAGCAGTCAACATGACCACCAGGCCCTGCTGGGTGGTCTCACGCCCCCTGCACTTCCCACAACACAGCCCGGGGGCGCCCTCCTGCCCCCCCCCCGCCCCCCGAATGTGCAGCAGTCCAGTGCCACGTCTCCTCCGGGCTTTGGGTTCTCAGGCATCAACTGCACACTGTTTTCTCCTTAGCTGCATTTCCTGGGTTTTTGTAATGTTCGATGGACTTCAAAAAATAAAAATAAAACCACCAAAAATATTGGGGAAAAAAGATTTCAGGCTAGATTAAAAAATCAAAATCCATCATGTGTTTCTTGGAAGAAAAACCTCTAAAATTTAAAACACAGACATAAAATAGAAATATGGAAAATTATACTTTGCAAACATTAATCAAAGACCTTGGCTTAACCGTATTAATACCAGAGGAAGTAGAGTCAAGGCAAACAATTATTACTTGAGACATAGAGGGACATTTCATAAGCATGAACATTTCATTTTGCCAACAAGATATAAAAATTTCAGCTTAAAAAAAAAGAACCTGCCCTGGCTAATTTGGCTCAGCGGTTAGAGTGTCAGCCGGCGGACTGGAGAGACCCAGGTTCGGTTCCCGCTAAGGGCATGTACCTCAGTTGCAGTTTGTCCCCGGCCCGGTTGGGGTCGTGTGGGTGGCAACCGGCAACCACTGGATGTGTCTCTCTCACATCAATGTCTCTCTCTGTCTCTTTCTCTCTCTCTCTCTCTCTCACTCCCTCCCTCCCTCCCTCCCTCTCTCCCTCTCTCCCTCCTGCTCTATCTGAAGATAAATGAAAAAAAAAAAAAAATGTCCTCAGGTGAGGATAAAAAAAAAAAAAAGGATCCCTGTTCTGCAAGTTTTCCTCCTGCTCAGTGGTCCTGGTGGCTCATTGCGAAGCCCCTGCCGCAGCCTCAGCGGCCCCAGGCCGGGGTCTTCACTGTGATTCCAACCCCGCCTCTGTCCAGGAAGGAGCCCTGACTGCCCAGCGGTGCCCGCTTCCCCACACCTCACCGCTCACCCGCCCTCTGCTCTTCACTGAACGTTGGTCTGTCCTCGGCACTAACAGTCAGTAGCAGGCATGACTCTGAGAAATCTTTTCTTTTCAGTAGGGAAGCAAAAACAAAAGGAAATGCTAGGCGCGGCAGTACTGGGAAAACTGAGTGCCAGAACAGAGGGAGCTGCGGGCAGGCTGTCAAGGGAGGCCTCCCTGAGGGGGCATCTGGGTTCCGGCCAGGCCCACAGGGCACGCTCCCGCCCACCTCCTCCCGCCACTAAGGCCAGCGATGTTATGAAGCCTTGGCAGTCATTGGTCCACCTACGTTAAAAACTAATCATGATAGCAACTTATCTCTTATCTACTTCCAACAACAGTCATCCACAGATCTCTGCTGCCAAATAATAATATTGTTCACCATGAAATTATCTACCTACCTCTTCTACTTCTGCTTAAAAAGAAACAGAAAAAAGGAAAAGTTCTCCCCAAGGCCTCCTCTGTCTTCCCACAGTGCATGCAAGCAGCCGAAGTCCGATGAAGACATAAATCGTCCTTGCAGGCCAGTCTTCCTGCCCGCGTCCTGGTGCCGCCCGGGCCCTTCCCACTGTTCTTGTTTTGCTTTATCTGAGACTTGAAACCCTGGGCAGGGATCCTTTCTCGGTGTTCAAGACAATAAAATATTAAATATAGTGAGTCAATAGCACAGTGTTAAGATGCCCAAGGAACTCCCCGAAGAGGCCTAAGTATCTCTTCTAAATCAATACCACAAGCCCCAGACACAAATGCCCTCACCATCCTCCTCCTCATCCCAGGAAAGCTGTGCTGACAAGAATAACTGCTTCCTCAGGGGACCTTCTGGGGACAAGATGACAGAAGAAAGTGAAGTGTCTACAGACCTGCCACAGGTCAGATCCAAGGCGAATATCCAGGCACATGCTCAGCAGAGAGAAAGGACTCACCCCGCTCAGAACGACGACACTGCTGGGCGTGGGGAGCAGCACAGTCGCTGCAACCCTGAGGAAGGTGATTGGGAGAGAGAGAAGTAATTCTGGGCATACACCCCTTTGATGCAGCGATTCCCTACTATGTGCTCATCAAGGATCCTGTCACATCTTGCTTTCCTAATTCTTGTCCCACCTGTACCTGCCCACCTCCAGGTTGCTATCTGTGTTCCCCACAGCCCTGGAAAGCCAAATGGAAGGAGACTCCTCCTCACAGTAACTGAAAATCCTGATACCAAGCACATGTCTGATAGGGGGCAGGCATCAAACATTTCAAATAAACAGACTTTGGGGGCTGAAAGTATCCTATAATATTTAAGTGTTTTGGATGTTCACTTAAAGTTTTAAAATATTTTAAACATCAGAACCAAGTTGCTAATAATGGACTGGATGAGTAATTAGGCTATATGGTTGAATACTGCATGGCCATTAAGAACTACACTGTAGCCCAGACAGTGTGGCTCAGTGCTTGAGTGTCGTCCCATGGACCAAGAGGTCTCCAGTTCGATTCCCCGTCAGGGCACATGCCTGGGTTGCAGACTCGATCCTCAGTAGAGGGCGTGCAGGAGGCAGCCAATCCATGTTTCTCTCTCACATGAATGTTTCTTTCCTCCCCCTCTTCCTTCCTCTCTCTCTAAAAAAATCAATAAAAACCTATTATTTTAATATATATAAGATATATACACAGAATGATATAAGAAAAATTCCTGAAACAATGAAAGAACTCAATATGCACACCGAAAAAGCACACAGAAAAATGTAACACAGTGTGCTCAAGGCAGTGACAAGCTATAACCACGCTACTGAGCTTCAACAATCAAGACACTTACATGCCAGAAAGCCCATGACCCAAAAGTGAGAAAACAAGATCAGTCTGAGATTTCTCCCACTGCCATGTTAATACTGGGAGACCCCAGAGTGACCGCCACCAAGCTCTGGAACATGTCCAGAGACTATCATACCCAGGCCAGGTGTCATTCAAGTCCGAAAGCCAGAGATGAACATTTGCAAATATGAGTCATTTTAGGGGGAAGAAAATAGGAATGTGGCTATTTAAGAGATGAGTCATATAAAATATACCTGAGGACCTGGCCGGTTTGGCTCAGCGGTTAGAGCGTTGGCCTGCGGTCCAGAGAGACCCGGGTTCAGTCCCCGCTAAGGGCACATACCTCAGTTGCAGTTTGTCCCTGGCCCCGGTTGGTCATGCAGGTGGCAGCCACTCGTTGTGTCCCTTTCACGTCGATGTTTCTCTCTCTCTCTCTGTTCCTCTCTCTTCCTCCCACTCTACCTGAACAAAGAATGGAAAAATGTCCTCGGGTGAGGATTAAAAAATAAAAAATTAATTAATTTAAATATAAATATAAATAAATAAATAAATAAATAAATAAATAAATAAATAAATAAATATAAATATATATATATCTGAGTAAAAGCATTTCATTAATTTAAATAGAGACCGACCCAAACAATGAAAGCACGGTTCAGAACAGAACAGGAGTCACGGCGTGAATTAACAGTGGAACTTTCACAGTGAGAAAGCAGAGACGTGGGGAGATGAGACTGCTAGCCGCCCTGTCCTTCAGAAGGGAGTGGATGAACAGTCAAAATTGAAACACAGTTTTAAAAAGCCACAGTCCCAACCTTGCAATGCTTTCACGAATCTCTTGACCTTAATGAACTTGTAGAAGATAAGTGCTGGTGTTAAAGAAACATTTATTCGAAGTTAACTTTTCTCTGGTTTCACTGCAGCTTTTCTTCTACTGAAATCAAGTAAAAACTCAATAATGAGAAAACAGCACTGCAGACAAGGTGCATTTTTATAAAGGCACTTCTACCCCTCTCTACGGCTATCCTTGCACCTGTCTAAACGCATCATAAAATTGCCTGTAGTGCCGTGAGCCACGTATGAACAGAAGTCACCTGGAGTGGTAGGGTGTGGGGCCAGACATCACTTCTTCGTACCTTGCACTGTTAATTGATGCCTTTACATTGACCATGTACCATATCCTTTTATGCAAATACAGACTGGTTTGTCTTCATTTAAATAACAGAACAAAATCGACCGAAAAAGAAAACATGCCAAGGCATTAACAGTGGTTGATTAGATGGTGGATACGAATGACAATTTTCTTCTTTGTATTTTTCTGTATTTTTCCTGGAGAAAAAATAATCCAAGATTGTTAAAGAATGCGAGGTGATGTTGAAAGCCTACAGTAGCTGGCAGAATGTTAAGATAAAAAGCAAAACCAAAAAAACTACATGTATATGCAGAGATGTAGACAGATGTATCGCAATGGATAAAGGGTTATAGATGATTTGTTTTTCCTTTTCTTTTACCTATTTTTTAACTTCTGGAAGGTGAACATTTATTACTTGTGTAATTAAAAAGACACCTCTTGGTTTTCGTTTTTAATAGAAGGGGCATCTCAGAGGACTCCCAGCCCCTGAAGTGCAGGGAGCCTGGTGGCTTCCTGCAGGAGGGCTGCCCCCAGGGGAGCAGGGTGCGAAGGTGATACCTAAATTACCACAGGGCCCAACAGCCCAGTGATTCAGGGCATGTGTGGAACAAGGGGCTGAAGGCTACCCACATCCAACACAGCCCTCAGAACAGGTGTATGTGCCCAGGAACATGTTTGTGTTAGACATAAGGTTTAGAAGCAAATGGCTCAATTCAGTCAGCAGTAATCAACAGCCTGAAACAGCATGCCACTCGAAAGCCTGGCATGCCCCAGCGAAGCCGTCCGAGCAGGCTGCCTTCATGTGCTTTCGATGAGAAGAGTTCAGAAAAGCAGGAGTACCTTCAGGCCCCAGCGCACACAGATGCTCAGCATGCTCAGGCCTTAAGGTTCGAAGGTTCCAACTAGAACGAAACTCACCCATGGCTATGGCCAGTGAACATCTGGTCCACTCAGTAACTCACCGCATGCTATGGGAGAATAAACCTGGGACCCGGGAACTTGAAGCAGAATTCGAAATGGAGCCACCCGTGCACTGGAGTCCAGCACTGCGTCCAGAGCGCCCACCAGGCGACCTTCAAAAAAAAGAAGAGGAAGTGCACCTCTGAGCACAGGGACTGGCCCGGCCAAGCAGCCAACCTGCTCAGATTGTGTTATTAAAAGTAGAAGCCCCTACCCTGGCCAGGTGTATCAGCTGGTTGGAACATAATCCTGTGCACCAAAAGGTGGCAGGTTCAATTCCCAGTGAGAGCACATACCTAGGTTGCAGGTTGGATCCCTGGTCCGGGAGAATACAGGAGGTAACCAATGGATGTTTCTCACATCAATTTTTTCTCCCATTCTCTCCTTCTCTCCCCCTACCCTTCCTTGTTCTCTCTAAAAATCAATTAAAAAAAAAAAAAAAAAAAACATATCCTTGGGTGAGGATTAAAAAATTAATTAATTAGCCCAGCCAGTGTGGCTTACTGGTTGAGCGTCAATCCATGCACAGAGAGGTTGTTGGTTCGATTCCCAGTCAGGGCATATGTCCAGGTTGTGGGCCCGATCCCCAGTGGGGGGTATGCAGGAGTTAGCCAATTGATGTTCTCTCTCATTGATGTTTTTATCTCTCTCTCCCTTCCTCTCTCTAAAATCAATAAAGAAAAAAAATTTTTTTAATTAGTTAATTAATAGAAGTCCCACCCTGGCCGGTTTTGCTCACTGGTTAGAGCATCAGCCTTCAGTCCGAAGGGTCATGGGTTCAATTCCCAGTCAAGGGCACATACCTGGGCTGCAGGTTTGATCCTAGCACTGGTCAGGGTCATGCGGAAGGCAACCAATGGATGTGTCTCTCTTAAATCAATGTTGCTCGCTCTCTCCCTCCCTCCCTTCCACTCCATCTAAAAATCAATGGAAAAATAACCTCAAGTGAGGATTTAAAAATAAATTAATTAAAAAAAATTTTTTTAAGTAAAAGTCCCTTTATCTAGCACAAGGCTTTTGAAAGCCCTCAATTATCAGTGATTCGGGAGCAAACCAGTAAGGAGGCAAAAACTGAGCAGCCTAAGGAATAATTTTTATAAAAACCCATGCACCCTTTCTTCCTTCTTTCCCTAAAGTCACTGAATGGGACAGCTCAAAGTCGTTGTAGGGCACAGGGTATATGGGCAGCTGGAGCCTGAATAACGTGAGGAAGGCACCTGCCACGCAAGGAACTGTGGTAGCAACAGGAGGCCTGATCAGGTATGTCAATATATTAAGAATAATGAAAGTCAGGGTTAGAGAATGGAGTCGCAAATATGGAAAGAAACTAGAATGAACGCTGTAGTATTGGATAGCAGCTGGATGTACTGGATCACAACTGGAGGTTAACTCATTTTTATAAAGTAGATCTGTCTAAGAAGAAATATAGACAACATGTCAATGAATATATCTGTGCATCAATATGTACACAGCTGTATGCAGACACACAGACATGCAGACACACAGCCCCTCGCCTGTCCCCTGAGGGGTCTCAGCGCAGCACCCTGTGGGCAGTGAGCACCAGGCGCCAGACTTGGGCCTGTAAAGTCGGTCCCTCATTACAGGAACCAGGCTCCTTGAGGAAATGGTTGATTCTAGGGCTAGAGCAAGAGAAGTACAAGATAAACTTGTGTTATTTTATTGTAGTAGAAAATATAAAAAGTAAAGGACACAGAAGTCAGCTTGAAGAGGCTTCTACTATCTGAATCTGAGACAATCTAAGCATCAAGTATGTTCTCAGATCACAATGGAATCAAACTAGAAGTCAACAATAGAAAGATCACTGGAAAATCCCCAAATATATGGATATTAATCACACTCTTAAATAAATATGGGTCAAAGAAGTCTTCAGAGGAATTTTAAAACTATTTGAACTTCATAAAAATTAAAATACAACTTAAGTATTATGTGTGATGTAATAAAAGCAGTGCTTAGGGGGAAATTTATAGCAATAGATGCATAAATTCAAGAAGGAACTAAAAATTAATAAGCTAAGTTTTTCTATAGGAAATTATACCAAAAGAAAAAAGAGCAATTTAACCCTAAAAGGCAGAAGAAAAATCATAAAAATTGAGAAAAATCAACAAAACTGAAACCAAAAAAATAGAGAAATATTAATAAAACCAACAGCCGTGTCTTTGAAAAGATCAATGGCATTGATAAACCTCTACATAGGCTAATATGAGAAAACGAAGAGAAGCTCTAATCACTAATACACAAATTAAGGGGGTAGGGTCGTCATCACCACTAATAGTAAAAGGATAATGAAGAAATACTATGAACTCCATGCCCACAAATTTGATAACTTACATGAAATGGACACAAATTACCAAAGCTCACACAAGGAAAAATCAATCATTTGAATAAGTTTGTTATCTACTAAAGAAACTGAATCAATTAATAACCTGCCAAAAAATAAAAATAAAATACCAGATCTAGAAGGTTTCACTGGTGAATTCTACTGAATGTTAAGAACACATGAAAATAATCTCCACAATCTCTTCTAAATACAAAACAAAAGCAGAGGGAACATCTCCTACCTCGTTCTACAAGACCAGCATTATCCTAATAC